TACACTTTCTCATGTGTTCCTCGCAATGTGATCAGGATAGACTCTAGATGCAATTCAGAGAATGATGTCTCAGTAAATGGCTCCCCTTTTGGCTCAATAAGCAGCCAATTCTGAGACAACCCACAACTGTTTGGGAGCACAGCCCCACCTTCGTTGCTGCTTGCCAGCGCATTGTTGATCGTGTTCATATTGGTGCAATTCTTTCCAGCGAGCTCCTCGGAAGAGTAAACCTTGGCTACCACTACCTTGCCTTGGAAGCGACCAACATAGGCTCTGCATGTGCCTCCTAATCTCAACTGTTTGTCGATGGACACAGGATTGCCGTTGAATTGTGGGTTTGGGCGATATCCATTATCCCTCTCCATGAAATCAACAAAAAGCTGCATGCCATTCCGATAGTCCAAGACCTCAGAAATGCTCCAGATCACCTGAAATGGCGACACGCTTGCTCTAGTTGCCTTAACAAGAATAAAACTCTTGTTGTTGGTGACAAACCCATATGCGTGCTCCCTGTTTGGTTGCGCCTCCAGCATCTTGTGAAGATGCAGCATTATCTGCCCTTTGTCCGCACCTGATATACCTTTCCATCCTTCACCCTTGCAATCTCCGGCTGCTACAAATGACTCCGCAGTGGGGACAGCGACATGCGTCTGGTAGAAGCAGATATCTGGAGTCTTGGGCCCAAGATTGGCAGTCTCATAGCCATTCTTAATTCCTGGGATAATGCTCTTTTCATCATCTTCCATGAATTTCTGCCAGAAGGGTTTAACCTTTTTCTTTTCGGGGCCCGTTGCGTGTTCAGCCGCCAGAAGATCCTTGCGGAGATTGTTTTGAGACTCCGGTGTTTGCCAATTCTCATTAATCCGAGACTCTTTTTTTCTCATCATAGTAATTGGAGTAGCTCACCGCAAATGAGTCTTTCATGAGCGCTTCGTTCAATCGTTTTTCAACGGCACGTATCTCTTCCTTCAAATTGTAGCTGTGTCTGATGGCAGATTAAATTGCTAGTGATAGCTAGCTAGTAGCCATCGTCAGCCAGTCTTGTCTCTCCGAGTCACACCTGACCAACAAGTTAACCCTAATCTTAGAGGGGGGCCGAGGTGGGATAATCCATTATTACCTCACCTCGGTCCCCCTTCCACTTACTTCTGCCCCCCTGTATTCCTATAGTGTTTTAGTAGACCGGTAGGCGATTTATTTGCGAGGGACCAACATTAATCTAAGATTCCCCTCTTTCAGACACATGGGAATCAAAGATTTAATCCGACCCTCCTAGCAAGTCTTTTTTCCCTGCTTTTTCCATAGCCCCGCGGCGACTGAGCGTCTACAAATAGCCCCGCGGCAATTGAGCGTACCAATCTAGTGGACGGAGGGGGCAAGCCTCTGCGGCGAATGAGCGGTACCATCAACATAGCTCCTCCAAACGTGTCAATTCCGCGCCAACTTTTTAATCGTGTTATGCGTTTCGCGCCTAGATTTCAATAAACCATGCATTTCATTTCAATCATGCGACCACAGTCAATCAGCCATTACTTTGTCCCCCTCATAATTTACTAGTACGACTGTACCTGTAATTTACAATGATGGGCATTAAAGATAACGAACACAGGGCAAGACAATGGACTTTCACCCTTTTGAAGGCTGATAATGCAACTATAGAATGTATATCAAACCTACTCCAAGATGACGTACATTACTGGGCGTTTGCAATCTTCAATGATGATACCTGCAACCGCTATATTGAAGGATATATTAAAATGAAAGACCGCATCCGTGTTACTGCATTGGTGTGCCTGATCGGATATGGCCTCTTTAGTGTGTGCAGCACACCTGAAAGTGTAACCAACATCCTAACGGAGCTGAAGGCAAACCCATCGTTCTTGGAATTCGGCAACAAAGCACAAGGTCATCAAGGCTCTCACAAAGACCTCTCCCAATTCAAACTCGCAGTCGACACAGGCGTCAATGAGGAATAACTAGGAGTGTTGTACCCCCAAATCTGCAGACTCTACCCCAGCTTCGTGAATAATTGTCTAATCAAAGCAAATCGAATGAAAAAAGACAACAGTTGAAGCCGCCGCTTGAAGACCTATAAACAACTCCAATGTAGATCGAAGACCTCCTCCTGTCAAAAGTAGATGCAACAGGAGCCCCGTTACATTTGAAATTCAAATCCAAACCTCAAACATAAAAACCACTTAAGAAGGTACCACCCGCTTTTAGTCACGAGTCGGGATTCACAGCATTTTACTCGAGAAAATCGCCACAACAACAACAAATTAGCGATTTCGTTTTGCCTCTCTGGGACTGGATGTTGTGCCTGTTGTACTCAGTTCTGACAGTCCATACAATACAATTAAGTCTTCGAAACATACATGTTAAGAAGGAGTGACACAGTTGGACCGCCGCTAGGGTCCTGATAGGTCTCAGCAGCCGCAGAGTTAGTGGTCGATTTTCAACCGCTTATCAGAGTTAACAGTGATCTATCTCGTTTAAGGAGGTACCACCCTCTTTTTAGTCACGAGTCGGGATTCGCACCATTTTACTGGAGAAAATCGCGACAACAACAACAAATTAGCGATTTCGATTACTGCTGTTGGGACTGGCTAGTGCTCTTGTCCTACTCAATTCTGACAGTAGCTACCATTAAGTTAAATCTTCGAAACATAGTTGTTAAGAAGGAGTGACTTGGCTGGACAGTTGCAGGGGCTCCGGTCGATAGGTCTCAGTAGCAGCAGACTTAGCGGTCGATTTTCGACGGAATTCAGAGTTAACACTGAACTAAACAGTCTAAGCCCCAGCGACTGTCCAACTGGATGGGGTACTCTTGTTTGTTATATCCCAAGTACGATTTGTATTGGTCAAAGGCTTATAAGAGATCTCTATTCTACTCAACTGATCAGTCCAATTCAGCGAGTTTTTGCTGTTGTTGTCGCGATTTTACTTGTTAATCCCAACTCATGACTAAAAGAGGGTGGTACCTCCTTAAGCCCCAGCGACGGTCCAACTCGTCGGGTTAGTCTTGTTTGTTATATCCTGAGGAGTATTTGTATTGGCCAAAGGCTTAACAGAGATGTCTATAGTACTTATCTGAACAGTCCCAAAGGAGTGGTCAAAATCGCTTTTTTGCTGTTGTTGTCGAGATTTTCTCGAGTAATTTTGGGTTTCAACCAACTCATGACTAAAAAGCCGGACAGATCGAGTGGTACCTCCTTAACAGTATTAGTAACAGTATTAGCCGTACCTACACTGCTATTGCAGCGCCGCTTAGTAGCCATACCTATTGTAACCACGACGCCCCCCATATCTGCCAAATTGCCTTCCACCTCCGTAGTTGCTGTAATAAGGCTGATAGTAACGACCGTAACCCCGTTCATAGCGATAAGGCCGGTAATGATTATAGTCTTCCTGTGGATTCCACGGTCCATACCAAGGCATATCTGGTTCATTTTGAACGGGTTCTTCATCAGGTATCTCATGTGAAGGTCGTGGAGGTATCTCCTGCACCTCTCCTTTACCATCCATCTCATCCGGCTTATCCGGAGTGCTTTGTTTAGCTTTCTTACTAGGAGGCGGCTTATCTACCTTCTCCTTAGGCTCATTGTCAACTTTTCCCTTATCCAAACGAACAAAGGTAGTCTCTCCCTCTGAAGTCCTCTTAGTATGTTTAGGAACGAACTCCTCGTTATTCATGCCAGCTATCGCCTTCTTCAACAAATCCTCCATTTTTTAATCCTCTAGAATAATGAGATGTGGGTAATCAGCAGCCTTTGCACCAGCCTCCCCGACTATTTCGCCATGGTGGACTTCATGAAACGAGATTTTGTAACGGAAGCCTTCGTAGCCTACAATCATAGACAAGGCATAATGCAGCTACGCTGTGTTATCCATAAAGACGAAGAGGTTACTGTCCGTACTCGTTGTTGGTTTCCCAACTACTAGTACACGGTCAATGAAATTGATGATGACATTGCAGAGCTGGACCAACCCAATCCAAGGTTGTATGCTGATAGCCATGGGAAGCTGTGATTTCATCCAGACTAAGAATCTTAAAAACACAAGAATGCGCCTATGTGAACGCCTTGGTTTAGTTCTCCCAGCACTCTCTGAGAGGACAAGCATTAATTTCTTTAAATTTTTTTTACCGTTTTATGATTTCCCACATCTTCCCAATATCAATGTCTAACTGCCCAAGACCCTTAATCCCGCAAGACCATGAATCTGCAAGATCCGTATACGTGACCTCTTCACTGGATCATCCCACCGATAAACACTTCCTAATTATCAAACATACGTGAACGAGCATCTCAAATGGAAATTCATTCATGGAACACTAGGCACGAGAGCACCACCTTTGGATGATCATTCTTTGGATGACCCATTGGATATTGGATACCACTTGTTAGTTAAGTAAGTGCATGCCCTGCATTGCATAGAGGACATCAATTTCTTACTTAAAGGCCGTGGCATTGGGCTACTGGAGTAGCCTAAAGTTGCAGAGAAGAACTGGACTACTCAAGTAGCCGAAAATCTAGACTACTCAAGTAGCCCAATGTGTAGCTAGTGCATTGGGCTACTCAAGTAGCTCAACATCTTGGGCTACTCGAGTATCTCAAAGTTTGAGCTACTTGAGCAGCCCAAACATATGGGCTACTTGAGCAGCCCAAACTGATTTTTGGAGGTTAGGCTACACAAGTAGCCCAAATAGGTGACGTTTTTTGAATGGTTGCATACAGCTATAAGCCACAAGTCACAAGCCAAAAACAGTCTAAGTACACTTCCAATGGACACGGCCAATTTGGGCTACTCGAGTAGCCCAAACACAAAGGGGCGAATTTAGGCTACTCGAGTAGCCCAAACACAAAGGGGCGAATTTAGGCTACTCAAGTAGCCCAAACAGAAAGGAGAGGATTTTAGGCTACTCGAGTAGCCCAAACACTTTTGGGAGGAGAAGACTGACCATCATGGAGTGATTTGGGCTACCGTAGCAGCCCACTGAAGGTGATACAGGTAGTGCCTTTAAAGACTTAACTGGCAAGTGGTATCCAATGGGTCATCCAAAGAATGATCATCCAAAGGTGGCATTCTCTTAGGCACAGGCATGTGCTCTCAAACCACCTCGGCCCCCCTTTTTGTCTCCGTGGTAGCTTCCAAGTCAGTCCTCCTCCTCCTCTCGAGCAAAAAAGACTTTCCTATCCTGCAAATCGTCAGGAGCGCTCGAACTTCTAGAGCATCTTGTTCGACACGGGGATGGACGAATTGAACCGGTAGCGAGGGAAGGGCGATGGATCTGTGCGTGAAGTCCCTACAAGCAAACATGAATTCGAATCCCTGAAAGTCGCTTCCTCCTACAAATAAATTACAAGATGATAATCATTTTATGAAGCACACACGATGAACAACAAAATGCTTGTGTGCTACGTAAGCATCATACTATTTGCTACCAAATGGCCTAAAAGAAAGAAAAAGACTGTGGATTGGAATTGATTGTCATTTTTTTGGTTGTGTTTGAATCGGATCCGACGCTCAGGCAGTCGCTTGGATTTTGTCGTGTGTGGTTCGTTATAGACCCGCCAATTCGGCTTCCAACTTTTTGAGTTCGTCTGCTTCATCATTGGCCAGTTTAGGTTGAGGCAGTTTGGAAGCTGGGACGGATGGAAGCGACAAATCTTCGACTGGTTTGGCAGGTGGCTTCAACAATTCGGCTTCCAAATCGGCAGTCTCCAATCCCTCCAATTCAGCCAACAATTCATCCTCATCCGCAAACAGTGGATCCACAGGTTGTGCAATAGCGTCATTCACTTCTTGTGCCAATTCCATTTCTTCCTTCATTTCGTCCATAATGTCGTCGACCTTTTCGATTCCAACTTCATTTCGGATTTTCTTCATGGTATTGGTTCCCGATTTCATGGCATCAAATGTAGCAGCGTTTTGCGCCGCACTTTCGAGGTTGATCACTTGTGTCTCCAACGTCATCTTGACATTCTGAATCTTGTCCACTTCTTGTTCATACATCTTCTTTCGCTTCATGGCAAACAAAGCTCCCTTTTTATCCCCCTTGGCCATTTTGGCCTTGGCTTCTGCCACCTGGGCTTCCACCTTTTTCAGAATGTGATCCTCTCTAGTACATAATAAATGATAGTATAAGAAATCCATGGCGGTAAAGCGAAAGTAGATTGAGTCATTCGTTCATAGAATGCCAGAATGCCAACAAAGCCAGCAATCGGCAAAAGCAGTAGTGTAGATTGATGCGTAATACGCGTAACAGCGAGAATGGAGCAAAAAGAGAGGAGACAACCGAAGCAAACAAAGGTGAATCAATTGTTCGAATAATTCAGAAATGATGCTTAAAAGAACATACACCACGAAACAAACCTTTTCTCTTGGTTCTTGATGGCTGTTCGAAGCTTCACAATTGTGGTTTGTGAGTCCGTTGTCGTCGTAGTCGGTGTCGACGACACTGTTGTTGGCTCTGCCTTCTTCTTTCCAAAAAAGTTAAACATCGTGGTGGTCTGTGTTTGTGAATAAGGCTGTTATGTTAGTATGCTGAGGCTGGCAAGATCTTTACTACGGTATTGATTCGAAGATAGATCAGAGAGAGGGGACTGAATGGCAAAGCACCAACCAAGTCGTTGCAGTGGTCGATTATCGAAACAGACAATATCGAAACAGACAAGAAGCGCGCTGTCTTCAGTTGAGATTTGCTGTAATAAGCCGGTTGAACCAATTAGGGCAGGAAGGTTCGGCCTGAGGCCTGATCCTGCTGAATCTTGGATCGCACCAGCAGCAATCACGAGCTGAAGTTAGTGCTTTACTCAGTCAGTCTGGAGCGTCCCTCAATCGTGGGTGAGTTTTAAATCCGACCCAAATCCGACCCTAAATCTTTGAAACCCGACCCTAATTCCATGTAGCAATAGGGTCGGTTTTGAAACCCGCCCCTAAATCGAAACCCGTCCCTAAATTAGGGACGTTTTTTCAGAATCCGTCCCTAATTATAGGGTTGGTTTCGAAACCCGACCCTATTTTAGGGTCGGATTTCAATGTATTTACCACTCAGTCCCGCTTCCATTTAGGGACGGTTTTCAAACCCGCCCCTAAATCGAAACCCGTCCCTTAATTAGGGACGTTTTTTCAGAATCCGTCCCTAATTTTAGGGTCGGTTTCGAAACCCGACCCTAAAGGGGAATCCGTCCCTAAATCCGACCCAAAATTAGGGTCGGTTTTCGATATAAGTCATGCACGATTGAGGAACGCTCCAGTGCTTTACTCAGTCAGTGCTTTACCCAATACTGCTTTACTGAATGCTCAGGTTGTCATTGGTGGTCCATTAAAACAGAGCTTCGAAGTGCTGCTACTACTACTACTATTACAACAACAACAACAACAACAACAACTACTACTACTTGTAGCTAGAACCAAAAGTGGAGTTCTAAGAAGCATAGCAGGGATCAGAGAAGGCTACGAGCACAGGATGAGTAACCGAGGACTGGTGACGGAAACTGCGTTTTGTAGGCGCGGGGACTGTGTCAGGATTGGTGAAAACAAAGTCAAAGTGGTTGGAACTGAGACCATAATCTATGCCAACAAGAAGCCACTATGGCTGATGAAAATGGAGGGATGCATGGATGACAACAATAAGCTCAGATAAGGGCTACTGCAATACACGGCTCTTAGCCTTATTCGCGACTCGATCCTAGATAGGGTTTGAGTTCGACTCATGACTGAGTCTTTCGTGAATAGTCATTGAGACAGGGTTCTCATGACCGCTAGTCATACTAGGTCGATGATGAAACATCGCGCTAGATATTTAGCTGGCGTGGAGAGATTCCACGCTACTAGATAAATGCTAGACGAATCTTCCACGCATTCCGTTTTTGGATCGTGGAGTGAGTAGGATCGCTACCGCAACCTACTCTATCACACTCTACAGTCTCCCGCGGGAGTTCAGATCTACGATCCTTCCTGAAGTGGATCCTCTCGTTGATTAGTTTTCATAGCTTTCTAACCCCAAACTTTCATTCTCTCAAACTCAAAAACCCGAAAGATCTTTACACTAAGCTTTTAGCGTAGTGCTTGTTAACAAACACAATAGCTTTCCTACCCTCAACCTATTCCCACCATGAAATTGCCAATAGACCGCATACACCAGCTTCGAGTCAAGCTGCTGCAAAACCATCACCCTCATCGACCTCGTGATAGAAATGCGAATCGACGTATCTCGCTCTATCCCTACAAACCGCACTAATTCCAGCAGGATGCTAACAGCGCCAATACACTTCAAGGGTCCAAATCATCGAAATGGATCTAGACTCCACGCAGACATCAGTGGGCTGGACGATGGAGAAGGTTTCGCGGGCTCGCCATGCTTACGCCGACGACAAACACAACCTCCTCAGAGATGACTTCTAGCCTCTGCCAAAGCATTACGAACACTTGCAGCCACA